CGCGGTCGCCACCTCGACGGCGTGGAAGGCTGGCAGCGCGTCGACGACGAGGCCGGCGGACTCTTCACAGACCCAGTCCAGCTTCAACAGAGGCCACAGCTTGTCCAGGGCCGAATCTTCGTCGCTAACTTCCTCCACGACGTCCAGCGGAGCGCGCAGCATCCGCAAGAGCGCGACGAGCGGCTTGCCAAGCGTCGGCGTGTCGATGCCTTCAAGGAAGTCAAGCACCTCCTGGGGTGTCTTGAGCCACTTGAGGATGCCAATGAGCACGTGGTCCAGACCAGCAAAGCTCGGCCACAGCCAGACGAGGGCCTCCGCCTCGTCGTCAGCGTCCCACATGTCGTCGCCCGGTTCGCAAAGCAGCCGTGAGAGAGCAGCGAGCGGCCGGCAGAGGGCATCCGGCGAGAGCGCGTCGAGGAAGGCGACGACGTCGTCGGGCGTCTCCAAGCACTTGACGATCGTCTCTTGTACGTGGTCGAGCGCCTCGACGGGCGTCGGCGCCTTGGCGTGGCGCTTGGCGTTGCTCATGCTTCGACGACGCAAGACTGCAACTGGCGAATCTGTTTTTCTGAAACTCAAACGTAATGGCTTCAAACTCAACAGTGATGAATCTCAAATTTGTTGTTGACGTGCGATTTGGAGCGTCTACCTACGGACGCCGTCGCTGTCACCTCATGTGCACGTCAAAGTGTGCTTGGATCGCCTATTCGCACAGAGACCTTGCCCTTCGCCGCCAGCGATGGGTTTGTATCAATATATCAGGACGGTCGTCGCATCAAACCACCGAGACCCAAACCTCAAATCAGCTACCGGAAACTCAACCCAACAGGAGTTGGATATATCTTATCGGAAGCGTAGACAAATGCTATATTCACACGCGCCTAATGCGCTGCTTCGTCAAAGAGCGACTGCGACATGAGCTCGAGTTTCCTGGTGACGCGCTGGTCGTCATCGTAGATCGCATGGCCAATCGCGTCACGCGTCAGGGCCGTCGGACTCAGCGTCAAGGACATGGCGCGGGGCGCCGGCTTGGGCACGGCCCTAGGTCGCAGCCGCGCGCCAAGTGCAGTGACTTTGGCTTTGGCGCGGCGCCACCCATAGCCTTTTTTCTTGGGCGTCTCAACGACATCAATCTCAAACTCATCGACGGGCGCCGGGTCAATTGCGTTTTTGAGTTGCGTCACCCGGTCCGCAACGTGCGCGGGTGTCTGCAGCGCGTCGAGCCACGAGGTCAAGATGCGTCGCTGGATCGCGTCCAGCTCGTCCGCGTCAATGGCCTCGCTCTCGTAGAGCTGCGCGGTGGTCGCGAGATGTTGTCGGACCGAGATTGACACGTCCGACGCGTCACTGTCTCCGTCGTCGTCGTCGTCATCGTCGTCTATCGACCGCGGTATCCGAAAACCCTTGCGCACCGACTCGCCGAGCTTGCGGATCGGCGACTTGGGCGGTGACGGGATCGGTACAAGCCCAAACCGGCGCCGGGACGACGTCACCATGGCTTTGGACGGCGTCAGCTTTTGCTCGCGCAGCGCCGCCTTCTTGGATTCGCGCGCGTCAAAGACTGCGTGGACCGAGCTCAAGTGGACGTCGCGGGCCGACGCGAGCTCGGGTGGAGGCAGCTGTGCCCACAGCAAACTGCACGTCTCGAGAAACGAAGAGGCCGTCTCGGGCGTCGACAACGAGTGCAAGAAGAGCTTGAGCCGCCGAAGCACAACGCCGGCTTCACGCTCGAGCGTGAGCTGCGGCGAGAGATGCAAGAGGATGGCGAGGGCTGTCACGAGCGGGATGCGGGACGCGCTCTGCGGCGACGGTGCGGCAAACACCGCTGCTAGCAAGCGCTCGTAAAACGGCGCCGGCGCGCTTGTGACGAAACACGTGACGAGCCACTAGGCATCGCCAGTTTGCACTTGCCATGAGCATAGGGTTAGGTGTACCGTGGTGCAGAGCACTTCCATGTTGAGCCCGAGTGCGGCCAAGTGCTGGCTCAGGTACGGATCGTTGCGGACCAGCCAGGACTGGAGAAGACTGCAGTCCGCGTGAAGACCGGCCATCGAGTGCGTGTGGTACTCGGGCAAGACGTCTTCGAGGAGGTAGACCAGCGCCCAGAACGCCTTCTCTTCGTCCATCTTGGCCGACGCGAGCAGCACGCCCGCGATCTCGTTCATGCCTTGGCAGTACCCAATGCGTGGACAGCGAATCGCAAAGCTGGTGAGAACGCGGGTGAGCGCCGGTCCGGCCTCGGGCGGCACCACAAAGGTGCGTGGAATGTCCTTCTCAATGCTGGCTTCAATGTCAGAGAACGCTCGCGGCCGGTGGTGGAGGTACCGCGCACAGCTCGCGCCGTCCCGGGCCTATCCCTTTTTACTCCAAGACTAATTGAGAGAGAGGTAGCGTTTACCGGTGGCCACGGATGCAGTGTTGGCGCGAGGCGCAAGGTGGCCGCTGCGGTTGGCCTGACAAAGAGCCGGCCGCTCGAGGGTTCGTCCGGTGGCGACTGGAGACGCAGCGGCGGGAACGGAGCCTTGATGTAGCCGTGCAGATTTACGGCCACGTCGAGAAACGCCTTGGCGATGGCCTCGTCTCCGAGCGTCACGGTGCAAAAGTGGCGGAGAACGACGTGGAAGCTCGGCGCGTCGGCCACCGAGAGCAGCGCGTCACCGAGGTAGAGTAAGAGCGCGGCACTGAGTGAGACGAGCCACTTGGACCGGGCGCGGGACGTCACAGCCTCGGCGAGGACCCACGTGTAGACGTGCCGGACGATCGTCGGGTGCAAGGCGTCCACAAAGAGTCGGTAGCTCCACTAGGACAGGACGTTCATCATGCAACGATCCGACAGTATCGATGCGCAGTGTACCGAGGCGAGTAGGTCGGGCAAGGCGACGTGGATCGCTAGTATGCACACAGATGAGCGGCGAGAATGACGTCAGGAAGAGGCTCGGTACTGGCGAGGTGCGGGCCGAGCCGCGGATCAAAGTGATGGACGACGCCGTAGAGGAACTTCCAGTCGTTCTCGAGACCAGTCATCGCGCTCGTAAAGTAGTCGGGCACGAGCTGGTGCACGAGCACGTGCAGCATACGCGCTGCCACGTCCATGTTTGTGGTCCATTGCAGGAGGACGTCGCTGACGTGGCCGAGGCCCTAGGATGGGCGCCGTCAAGAAGATGCATTGCTTGGGTTGAGGTTGCCTACGTGCATGTACTCGATGTGGAATTGGTGAGGCGATGCGAGCAACGGCGCGAGCATGCTGGCGCTGGCTTGCAGCGACGACGTGGGCGTGGCCACCTTGACGGACGCCACAAGCACCGGCCACGCCCAGCAGCAGTCGGCCAGCGAGATAAAGTCGGCGCCAAGCAGCGCCTTGGCGACTGCGATCGCGTCGGTTGCGCCGCTCTCTCGCTTGAGCTGCGCTAGCATCGTCCCCGCTATGGGAAGGGAAGAGACCGGGCTTCCGGATGATAGGGCACGTTACCAGACATTATCCGGTATCGTACCATTCCACCATGGCCGCCTTCAACGACAAGGTTGCGGAGCTCCTCGCGGCCCTCGATCGCGTCGACCTCTCGCGCGAAGCTGGCACGCTCGCCGCCGACTATGAGCGCCCGATGCGCTTCGACAACCCAGCGAGCCCGACGCCCGAGCCTGCGACGTCAGCGGACGAGGCCATGCCATGCGACGCGCCGAAGCATCCAGGCGACGACCTCGACAGCGACGTGAGCGACGATGAGAACGCGCCGCCCGTACCAGATGAGCTCTATGGCGAGACACTCGACGACGAAGACGAAGCCTACGTCCAGGATAACCTGCGTACGTGGGCGCCGACGAGGCTATCGCGTCTCATGCCACAGATGTCGTAGGCGGCACATCGGACGCACCCAAGGACGCTGCGTTGAGCTGCCCGTGCTGCTTTCTCGTCGTCTGCTACGCCAGCCAGCGGTACGATAGCCATCTTCGCGAAGGGTATTACAATCGAGATGGCTAGGCACGACCGCTACGAGACGCAGTACCGGTCGGAGAAGCCCGTCAATTGCCGCGTCCAGAAGGAGACTGTCTACTACTACGAGCAAAACAAGCTCCAGACGTCGCGCGCCGGCAGCAACGACGAAGCCTACTACGCGGTCGTGTGCTCCGACTGCGAAACGATTGTCGGCGTCAAGCCCGTCACCACCGCGCCGGGACAGCCCGCCTACACCCACTTCTTCCAGGTCCTTCCCAGCCATATTTAAACAGCGCTTTTCCCAGTCGACGTGGCCACTGTTGTCAATGGCTCACGTCCCGCTGCAGCGATTGTTCGTCTGCAGAGGATGGAGTGCTGTGGGATTGTGTGCATCGACGGTCGCCATGACATCCTCGTTCAGGCGTGTCCCAGAATAGCCGCCGAAAAAGTCCGAATTTCACTGAAATTCGGCATTTCTGCCTACGCCACCGATGCCGCACGGTGTTTGATTGGCCAAAATGCAATCGAATTGTGGCCGATTGTGAAGCGCCGTGGGGATCTTCAGAACATCGCGCCGGCCGACCAATCAGAAGGTCGTATCGAGGTGACGCGTCGTGTGATTGGATACAAGGCGAGGCAGGCCGATCGCTGTAGCATTCCAGGAGCGGACTTTGCCATTTGCGCCGCCGACGATGACCGGGAAGGCTGGCGCGATCGCGTTTGGCTGCGCGCTGCTGCTGGGCACCAGCACGACCCTCTCGTCCAAGTTTATGTATGGCATCCAGAGCATCGGCCTCGAAGAGACGCCCAAGCCCTTTGAGAAGCCGCTCATGCAAACCTTCTTTATGTTTGTGGCCATGGCACTCGCGCTGCCCGTGTACTTTGTCTACCAGCTCTGCCTCCCAAAGGACCAGCGCCAGCAGCTGCGCCTCGACGCTGCGCTCAAGCTCTGCATTCCGGCGGCCGCCGACCTCGTCTCGACCGCGCTCAACTGCGTCGGCTTGCTCTACGTCAATGTGAGCTTCTACCAGCTCGCGCGCTGCACCGTCATCATCTACGTCGCGACGCTCAAGGTGCTCTTCCTGCGCTTCGTCATGACGGGCTACATGCGCCTCGGTATCGCGATCAACGCGGTTGCGATCGTTGTCATTAGCGCGTCGGCGCTCGCTGGCACCGAGAACCTCGGCGACACGATACTTGGCGTCAGCGTCATGCTGCTCGCATGCCTCTCCACCGCGCTGCAGTACGTGAGTGAAGAGTACTACATGAAGAAAGGCGCCAAAACCGCCGGTGTGTCCGAGGTCTCGAACCCGCCAATGGTGGTCATTGGCATGGAAGGCCTCTGGGGCACGCTGCTCATGCTCGTGCTCGTCTTGCCGCTCGCGTACGTGCTGCCGGGCGCCGACCACGGTCGCATTGAAGACTTCTTCGACTCGATCGAGATGATGCGCCAGAGCGCGCCGCTGCGGCAGGTCTGCGCGCTCTACATCGTCTCCATCACGGGCTTCAACATTGCGTCCATCTACGTGACGTACTTTCTGGACTCGGTGTGGCGCTCGATCCTTGTCAACTTTCGACCTGTCGCGGTCTGGCTCGCGAGTCTCTTTACGTACTACGTCGCGACGACGCACGAGCTCGGCGAGCCGTGGACGCCGTGGAGCTGGCTCCAGCTCGGCGGCATGCTCCTCCTCTTTTACGGCACGGCCGTCTACAACGCCAACGTCCGGCTTCGCTGCTACGACTACAGCCCGCCGACGATGGCCGAGAAGCGCCTCAGTGTCTCGGCGGCCTCGAGCGACTCGGAAGTCGAGCCCGAGAAGATCCCAACCGCCAAATCCAACGATACCGTGCACATGGTCTAAATGCATCGTACACGTGTCTTTGTATCTTCTCCGCGACTGCTGTTTTGAAGCGACCGCCGGGCGACTCGTGGCACAGATTATCTGTCGGTTGAGCTGCGATCGTTGCGAGAAGCCACGCAGGACGACAACCAGTGCCACAAGCATTTATCGCTCCCTGGCGCGCATACCATGATGTAGATCATGACGCCGGACCACCCATGCGTCTGCTTCCGACCACAACAAATGTAGCAATGGAAGCCGCAGCCTCGCCAGCACCTCGGTACACATACACAGGTTAACGCCGTGTACGGAGCATCGCGATCCACAGAGCATCGTGGTCGCTGCGCAAGCGAGCCTTCTACCGTCCGCAGAGTATCAAGGACATGCATTCCTGCGCTTGATACTTTCGTAGTCCTCGTCCATCGCGGACTCGCTGTGCGTTGGGTCGCGCGCCGAGGAACCGTCCTCGAGTTGAAGTGGGTCAACGTATCCGGACGCTCCCATGGGTATACTCACATCAAGCTAAATGGTCTCTTCAACCGGTGTGGCATCCGGTTGGCATGGCTCCAAGATCTCAGTTTGCATTTGGCCAGCAATATGAAAGGAGCGTCGGCACCGAACGCGCGGACGAAGCGCGCAGCAGCATTTTGCTTTTGCTTGGCGCTCATCATGGGCACGGGCTCGACGCTCTCGAGCAAGGTAGAGCTGCCTCCACCCCTCTTACTGCTCACGCTCGTATGACAGATCATGTACGGCGTCGAGAGCATGGGCCGCGACGGCACGGTGCGCCACTTCCAGAAGCCGCTCATGCAAACCTTCATGATGTTCGTCGCCATGATGATTGGTACGTGACGCCTTGTGCTTGCGACGGCTTGCTCACAAAGCGAGTCTAGCGATTCCGTTCCACGTGCTCTACGCGCGGCTGACCAAGCAGAACGAGACGCTGACGCGCCACAGCGTACTCATGCTCGCATACCCGGCCATGGCCGACCTCGGCGCGACGGCGCTCATGAGCATTGGCCTCATGTACGTGCCTGTGAGCACGTTTCAGCTGGTCCGGTGCACAATCATTGTGTTTGTGGCCGTGCTCAAGGTGCTCTTTCTCAACTTCAAGCCCACGGGCTACATGCGCTGCGGCATTGGCCTCAATGCAATTGCGATCCTCATGGTCTCGGCTTCGTGCTTTGCCGAGGAGAAGGAGTCGGGCTCGGCGCTGCTCGGCGTCGGCATCCTCCTCGTCGGGTGCCTCATTACCTCGTCGCAGTATGTGCTCGAAGAGACGGTCATGCGGCGACAGGACATGCCGCCCATGATGGTCATTGGCCTCGAGGGCGTGTGGGGCACGCTGCTCATGGTCTGCGTCGTCTTTCCTATCGCATACCTTTTGCCGGGCCGCGACAATGGCCACGCCGAAGACGTGCTCGACTCGCTCGCAATGATGGCCAACAGCGCCACCGTCCGCTACCTCTGCGCGTTCTACATAAGCTGCATCACCGTCTTCAACGTGTCGAGCATCTTTGTCACGTACCTCCTCGACTCGGTGTGGCGCTCGATCCTGGCCAACTTTCGCCCGGTCTCGGTCTGGTCCATGGACCTCGCGCTCTTCTATGTCTTTACGAGCGGCGTCCTCGGCGAGCCGTGGTCGAGCTGGAGCTGGCTGCAGTTTGCGGGCATGCTCCTCCTCTTCTTTGGTACCGCGGTCTACAATGGCAACATTCGCCTGCGCTGGTTTGACTACGCGCACCTCGACGACGTCCAGGAGATGCTCACGGAAGAGTCGGCGCTCGCCATTGAGCTCTCCAACAGCCCCGGCTACGGGTCGCGCCTCAACGCGCACCGCAAGCCCTCGAAAGCGGTTTAGGTTGAAAGCGATGTACTCGAGTAAGAATTTTTGCGTTGACATGTGAATTGGTCCAAGGGCCTCCATCAGCTCCAGGGGTTGATGGCATGAGGATGCGAGGAGGCGGCGTGTGCCGCATGGTCTTTATCCAAATACAATAATAACGACGTCCATGTCTACCAGGCGTCGAAGCATGGCGCGAGAGATGTGTCATTTTGAGTCGGTGTTGGCGGCAGAATCATTTGCGACGAAGTTGATGGAGCGGTATAAGTGCGAAAGCAACCGTACGCCTTGATTTCACACTATTTAGGACTTGTGCCAGGGATTGTTGGCAGCTATTATAATAATGTCCCGAGAGGCACAACTGGTCCCACCTTGAATCCTTCCAAGCTGAGGTCGGTGCTTTACTGCAGGCATGCGCGAACGAGGCCTGGCGAGCGATCGTGAGAGGCAAGGGAGGGACAGTTGATAATGTACACTATTTACGTGATATTACAGTATTTTTAATCGTACTTAAGAAGGAGGTTCGTTGTCTATCCATGCGAGAGGAAACACTTGCTAGTTTTCTGACCAGTGCCAGACGCGTCCCCATGACGGCTTCCGCGACGTCGCCGGCGCACGGCAGCAGCGGCCGTGCCGAGACCGATTCGACTGCGTACACGCAACTGCCCAGCACGACGCAGCCAGCGCAGCTGCCCGATCGTGCGACGACCAGCGGCTGGACGCCAAGCCGGAGCCTGTCCGCAGCCACGCCCGCCATGCGACCGGCCAGCGAGCACGGACGCGCGGCAGAAACGACAGCATCGGCTGCCAAGTGGGACCCGAGAGACTTGTTTGTCACAGATGAAGAGTCTGTGCCCGTGCACGCGACCAAGATGGCGCTGTTGCAGTCGTCGACGTGCAACTGCCACGCGAGCTGCAGCGAGCGTCGTCGGCCTATGAGGCGTCGTCGGCAGAGCGCGGAGGTTGGCCCGTGCTCTCGTCGGCGATGCTGCACCGTCCGACACCCGACCATCCGACCACCGACGGGGTTGAACCTGCGCCCGGCTGGGCAAGCGGTGGCGCGCCGCCGACCGGTGCCGACAAGGCAGCAACCAGCACCGGATCATCGTCTCATGGAAGTGGCGCCCCGCTTACTGCAAGCGAGACGGCGAAAGCATCCGTTGCCGGTGAAACGCTCGCGATGGACGGAACCTCGACTTCAAGCCGCGCGCCAGTCACCGCGACGACGCCTGCTGCGTCATCGACGGGGCGGGGTGCACCGTCGTCGGTGTCGAGTACGAAGCCGTCGCGAAGCTTCTCGCCCGTCACCAATACCGGCGCCTGGGGCGCACCAGAGGTTACTCGCGGCCCAGTGACTGGCAACAGCGGTTGGGGCGCGCCGTCGACGGACGGGCCTACAAAGGCGTCGGGCTGGAACGCTGCACCTGCAAGTAGCACGACGTCGGGCTGGAACGCTGCACCTGCAAGCAGCAAGACCGCGCCGTCTGGTTCGACACAAGCCCACGCCCCGACACGGCCGCCGACCGCCGCAACGCCAGCATCAAGCGGCGGCTGGAACGCGCGGTCATCCAGCACATCGTCAGCGCCCATCTGGACAGGGAGCC